TTTTTTTTTCCTCATTGGTTTCCTATGTTCGCATCTGCATTTGCGAATCTTGTCATCCTTACCTAGCAATTTTTGTAAAAAATGAGTGATTCATATTGATTGGCTCGCGAGTTGAGGCGAGCTGATGACGATCATATTGATTCATATGAGTTAAAGGTGAAAATAGAAACTTATGGGCCTTAAATTTGAGGCTGACGAGTGAACTCACTCGCTCAAGGTGGCATAGTCAGTTATTAGTTATTGTTATTTATACATTTCCTTTTCATCTCCTTTTTTTTTTATCTCCTATTTTCCTTTTCTTATTTCTCTTTTAACATTCTACAACTCTAATAATGGTCCTTTGAGTGGCGGAGAAGATGAAAATGAGTAGTTGGGTGATTTTTTTTTTTTAAACCATTGGACTTGGATTATTCCTAATTTGAACTTTGAAATGTACTATGAAGTATGAACTCTCCTTGTGTTGATTGAGTAAGAGTACAAAGGACACAAGATATATATATATGTGTGTGTGTGTGTGTGTGTGTGTGTGTGTGTGTGTGTGTGTATAGATACAACAAAGAGCAAGCCGAAGAAGGAAAACGTTAATAGAGGCTAAGCTATGGGATTACAATCCCTTAATTGGCTTTTTAATCCATACAATCTAAATCAACAAATTTGATTAGACCATTAGGAATGCTTGTGCATCTGGCTCTGCACTTATAATATGTGGTTTAAAGACGCTTGTTTTATATGCTTTTTTAGGTGTCGAATGATGAATTATGGGATGACTTGAATATTGCAAATGATGAATTACGGGATGACTTGAATATTGCAAATTTAAAGTTTGGTGATTTATTAGTATTATAAACTATTACTGTTGGACTTTGTTTTGGTTTATATTTAAGTTTTTGCATGCCTTTCTAAAAAATTGAGCCTTATGCCTCTTCCACCAACATTCAAGCAGACTTCTATACAGTTTAATAATTTAAGAATTGTTACCCAGTACTTATCTATAATTGTCCTTAGAAGGAGCTCCTGTTACTAGAGTTGTGATGGATTAATATGTTATTTTGTATTCTTAGAGAGACAATGTAAATGTTTTTTTTTTTTTTTGGTTTACAAATGTGATATCTAATCTACTTATATGCAATTTTTTGTGATGTAAACTTCTTGAGCAAGCAAAATCCTCATTTTTCTTCTTTTCTCTTGCAAACTAGGCTCTGGAGTCTTTTAGTACTTTGATAGTAGAGTTTCCAAACGAGGAGATAAAGGCGGCTTGGTTGAGGGAACTTGTATTAAGTACATACCGTGCTTCTGTAAGATATGAAATCATCTACCTTGATTTACACATTCTTCTTTGCTTTCTGAATAACTCAGTACGTAATCTTTGACATTCCATCATGTGAGTAAAGGCTCCTCCTTCAGTAGACATGCTTGATGATACAAGAGAGGATTCAATTCAGTTTGCTGGATCTCGGTCCAGTAATGCAAAAGCAGCTGAGCTTGTTGTCAATGGAACAGTAGTAGAAACGAAATTGTCACTATACGGAAAGGTGAGAATATGTGCAATTTCCAGATATTTTAATTTTAGGTGATATTCTGTTGTCTTATTTCTAAAGTCAGCAGTTATCTGTATTTCTACTAGTCTGAACACTCCTTTTCATGTTTTCTATTTTCTCAGTTTGGAGACGACGAACAAGATAGAATACACGAGAAGCTTATTCTGCAAGTTCTTGCTAGTGGCGGAAAGGTTTGTAAAATGATTTGGATTTCATAAAAAGTCAGAGATGATTTATGTTGGAGGTTGAGTTGTATTTATATCTTAGAAGAATTTTGAGTTTGATTGATTTGCTGAAATCTTTAGTTTTTTTTTTCCTCGTGAGATGTGAATTTAAGCTCGACACTGGAAATCGTTTTAATTTCTGTCTTTTTTGCAGATGCACGTCTCAAGTTGTATAAGTGACTTGACTATAAAAGTGAAGCTTAATTCTTTGAAAATCAAGGATGAGCTACAGGGTTCTCTATCTACACATTCACAATATTTGGCCTGTTCAGTTATCAATGATCAGCATTCATTTAGCAACCCCAGCAAGTTGGAATCTCAAGAGAAGGACCTGTCTGCAGAGATGGTTGAAGAAGACGATATCTTCAGAGACGCCCTACCAGATTTTGTTATTTTCCATGAGTCTGCTGAAATCCACGAGAAGGATCTTTCTCCAGGAACCATGGCTACGTGCGATGTTTTTTATGAGGCAATGGGTCCAGATGATTCTGATTTTGTGTCCGTCACGTTCTTGACGAGGAATCCCAGTTCCCCTGATTATGATGGTATTGATACACAGGTATTCTTCTGAAGGATAATGGATTTTGGACAAAATGGCCCCTCTCATTCCGTCC